CACTCAGCAACCTCTTCTTTGACATTTACTCCATCCATCTACATAACCCTAAACAGATATTGGTCATAATCATCTGCTGTTCCTTATGTCCTTCTTCTTCCTTTCTCAAGGAGTTTAGTACCTGGTTTATAGTTTTCCTCCCCACCCCAATCTCTGCCCTCATTCCCAGAGAATTTAATATGCATGTGATGCCTCTTTGTTTTATCTCCACCCCCACTCTCCTAACTCATTTTCCCAATTCATCACATTCCTCAATTTTTACGACCTACACTGTCATTCTACCTCAGCCACACAGAAGGATGGTATCTCACCATCACCTATAAGGGTTCTACTTCCATAAAATGCAATTCATATTCTCCACTCTGTATACCATCTGCTATTCTTCCATTTCCTCCTCAGTATTACTCCTCCTAAACGTATGCTTCATCCTTAAAATGATGTCCAGTCACCTACCTCAAAAGGTAGTTGTAAGGATCAAATGAGATTTCTGTAAGGCAGTTAGTAAAGTGCCTGGCATATAGAAGGTGTTTAATAAATTCTTGTTCCCTCCTTCCTTCCCCATTTCCCAGGATATACAGGGCCCATCTCTAGTTGTCCTGATCTCTATCTCACCACTGGACACAGATAGCTCTGGAGGAGAAAGTGAAGCTGGTGACTGTGTACAACCCTCCCTCACTTAAATCCAATTCACTTGCATGTCATGGTCCTCTTTGAGAGTGAAGGACAAACAGCAACCCCAGGCTATCACCCCTGCTCTGGCTTTATTTTCCTCCCTTCAGTTTTGACTAATTCAACTGTACACCTACTGGTGTACAGTTAAATCTCTTCTTGAGATTTAAGTCCCACAGATTCAATCTTTGTCTTTCTGTCAATCATGTCTTGTTAAATACTCCCCCTGAGATTCTCCCCTTGTTCTTTTGCCAATCACGCCTTTTGGGGTTGCCCTTACCCACCATCTTCTTCACTCCTACTCTTGTGATTCTGGTGAAAATCACATAGCCATGCTGACTGGGTTCACCATAAATGGATGTTATCTCATATTAAATGGACTCTCACTATTGCACGGCAGTCCTTTTATTCCATTCTTGACAATCAACTCTACTCCTCATAGTGACTATTCTAAAACCTTCTCAACTCTCCTCAAACCTCCTATACCACATCCTCTCACCTTCCTCTCAGCAGAGAATCTTGCCTCCTAGAATCCATTGCAAATTCCTTCTTTTTCTCTACTTTACTCTCTCATCTCCTTTGCTCAACTGTCTGATAAAGATGTAGTTCTTTCTTCTTACCAAAGCCCATCCCTGTACTTGTACTCTTCACTCATTCCTTCCCATTCTCTCTGAAAACTTTCCCCCTTTGATTGTTCCCTTTCTTAAAACCTTCCATTTTCCATTTCTCCTTATCTACTAGCTCCTTTCCTGCTGCCCACAAGTATGTCCGGTTCACTCCCTTCTCTAAAAACAAAACAAGCAACCAAAATCCTTCATTTGACTTTTCCACACACTCAAGCTACTTATCTCCCCGTCTCCTCTTTTAGGAGGAGAGTCTACATTACTGCCTTTGTTTGCTCTCTTCTCATTCACTTCTTAAATTCTAAGAGAATCTGGCTTCTAATCCCAGCACTCCACAAAAGCTGTTCTCAAAGTTACCAATAATCTCTTAACTATTAATTTCAGAGGTTTTTCTCAGTCCCCATTCTACTTGACCTCTAACAATGTCAACTACCCTCTTTTCCTGCATATTCTCTCCTTTGGTTTCCATGACACTTTCTCCTTTTGGTTCTGTTCCTTCCCTTTTTTGTTGTTATTTATGGATCATTGCTCTTCTCTCATCCATTAAGTGTAGGAATTTTGTCCCTTCTCTCTCTACAGACTTTTACTCAGTAATCTCATCAAGTCCCATGGATCCAATTCAATCTATGTAAATGAATCCTGAATCTATATATCCAGCACTAATCTTTCTACTGAACTCCAGTCATGAGTTACCAACTGCCTGTTAGATATCTCCATCTGTCCCACAGGCATCTTAAAAATTCAGTATGTCCAAAAAAGGAACTCATGATATTTTCCCCTAAACCTATGCCTCCTCCAAATTTTCCTGTTTCTCTGAAAGATAATACCATTCTTTGAACCACCAAGTTGGAGAATCTTGGTGTTATCACTGATACATCCCTTTCCTTTACCCCATCATTTTCAATGCCACCTCTACAACTGGGACTCTGCCTTTTTTGGATGATGGGCCCCTTTGGCAATCTGGTAAAGTCCATAGATCCCTTTTCAGAATAATGTTTTCAAATGCATAAAATAAAGGATCACAAAAGAAATCAATAATATTGAAATATAGTTACCAAAATATTAAAAAACCAATTTTTTGGACTCTAGATTAATAATTCTTGTACCACATCATCCTTTCATATGTTCCCTTACTTCCACTTACATAGTCACTCTTGCTTGGTCTCCTGCAAAATATCATTGGGCTTCTTTGAAACGAAGGACAAACAACAAATGATCTCCAGGATATCAGCCTTCTCTAATCCATCCTTCACAAAGATGCCAAATTGATATGCAAAAAAACACAGATTGATCACATCACTCTTTTACTCAAAAATCTTTGATGGTTCCTTCTTGTCTCTATGATAAACTACAAAATCTTCAGACTGGCATTTGAAGTCCTCTACAATACAGATGTCAAACACCAGCCTACCAGGTTCCTGCCTGCAAAACTCCCCAGTGCACCCAGAACCAGATTAAAATGTAACTGGGGGGCAGCTAGGTGGCACAGTGGATAGAGCATGGGCCCTAAAGTCAGGAGGACCTGAGGTCTGGCCTCAGACCAAACACCTGACACTTACTAGCTGTGCGACCCTGGGCAAGTCACTTAACCCCAATTGCCTAAAACAAAAAACAAACAAAATGTAACTGGAAACTGCTTACAAAAATAAATAAAATAAGACACAGATAAGGTTAATTTGTGCTAAGTTGTGCAGTGTATAGAGCTCTGGGCCTTAAGTCAGGAAGAAGTATGTTCAGATACTTCCTAACTGTGTGACCCTGAGCAAGTCACTTAACCCTGTTCACCTCAGTTTCCTCATCTGTAAAATGAACCAGAGAAGGAAATGGCAAATCCCTCCAGTATCTTTGCCAAGAAAACCCCCAAAAAGGGTCACAAAGAATCAAACGACTGAAAATGACCAAACAACAAAGTCAGTATATGGCCTATAGGCCTATAGATCTGTTTCTATTGAGTTCAACACCAATTAAGTCTACAATTTGACTGCTTACTACCTTTTCAGGCCTATTACATATTATTCCCCTTCGTGCTATATACATTCCAACCAAATGGGTTGACTAGATATTCGTCACACATAGTATCTCATTTCTTGTCTCTGGGCTTGTGAACACTGTCTGGGCCTGGAATGCACCACTGCCTCACCTCTGTCTAGATGATCCTTCTGTCGAAAAAGCTTTTCCTGATTCCCTGAATTTTTAGTGCTCTCTCCCTCTTCAATTTCTCTTATTATTACTTATCTTTTAATATTTTATAAATCCACTCTCCCCACCACACCCCCAGTAGAATGTAAGCTTCTTGCAGATGCGGGCTAACGTTAGTCTTTGTAAACCCAGCGCCTAGCATAGTGTTGGCACAAAGTAATCACTTAAAAATATTTCCCTCACAATAACCTTGTAAGATAAAGAAGTACAATGATTATCATCTCTATTTTGCATATAAAGAAAAAAATGTTTAAAAGTAGTGTCTTTTATGAACTTTTGGGGTAAGGTAAGCATCAGGTTGAATTATCCTTTTTCTAGATAATGGGAAAATCTGTAATATTACCTTATAAGAGACATCCTTTTTTCTTCTTCCCCTCGTTAAGGAAGTGGGGCAGTTACTGACTTGGTGATTACCTATAAATGGCTGCTTAGACTATGAAAAATCCATTATTTACTGTGAGGCTTCTTAATTGGCTGAGCCTGGGATTGAAGCAGGGACGAATGAGTTCTGTCCAGAAAGACAGGCTAGGTCGATACCAAATCAGTGTGAATGTGAAGGGAAAAATGTCATTCTCTTTTTGAAATGAATATAATCCTCAATATGAAGGCTATATTAGTGTGCAAAAGTCCCACTTAGTCTGCACTGTTTTGCTTGAATTTCTGAATTCCTTGCCCCTACATGTACATTCTGATTTTATTTTCTTTCTCCCTTGTGAATAAATCTCATGAAAACGATATATGTAGAATGGAGAAAGAAAAGGGGGAGTTGGTACTAGAACTACAGCATTTAGGGTTATTGACAAAACAGGGAAAGGTAATCAGTGACTGGATGCAGATGACCTCTGAACCCATGTCTAGTCTGGTTCAATGATCAAAAAAGGAGGAAGCTCTTAACCTCAAGTCAAGGTTTTAGAGTTCATTGACAATTAAATATTGTTATAAAGAAACTCCTAGGCCAAAGGAAAGATTCTCTTAGGTCAGTTTCCCGATGGCTTTGATTCTCTTATCTCCGTTTTTCCTTAACAGAAACTCAGCTTCTTAGAAACACGACTTGCCCACAATCACACATTTGGTATAGCAGCAAACCTGGGCTCGAACCCAATCATTTGCTCTTTCACCACAACAAAGGGACAAGATACACACTCCGGGCAAAATTAATAAATCGATACCAGAATGTGGTAATAATGACAGCAGCCGCAAAAGTCACGTAAACGAACATCTTTAAGAAAGAATCCTCTTCCTTCAAGAGTGCTAGAGCTTCCCGGGAGACTGATTCTCTCTCTATTCTTCTGGGAGGAGAGGGAGATTACGCTCAGTTCGGAGGTCACCTGCGCCCAATCACTGATTATCTTTCCCTCTTTTGCCTCTAGCCCTGGATGCCCCAGTTTCTAGTGCCAAGCCTCACTGATGGGGGGTAGGATTGACCTTGGCCAAGTCCCCTTTTCTGGGGGAGAAGAGTCGCTTACTCTGTCAGGACCCACTTTCTCCTCCTCCCCAGGGCGCTCTCACCTTGGCGGAGACCCCCCTCCAGCTGCAGAAAGCCTGGTGGGCGGCTCTCACGGCCCCCCGGGCCTCGGCCGCCCCGCAGTCGGCCACTCGCCCTAGCTGGGCACCGCTAGCCGGATCCTGCACTGGGAAGGTGCCTGCGGAGGCGGGCAGCCAGCGGCCCCCCACAAAGGATTCGGTGCGCAGCAGGGCCCCTGGGAGCACGGCCGGACCCCCGCTGTAGCCTCGGAGCGGGTGGGGACCGGGCCCCGCCTCAGGCAAAGGCGGGAGAGAGAGAGGGCAGCGGGGGCGGGGATTGGCGCCCGGAGGCGGCCAGGCCAAGCGCAGGGCCCGGCAGTTCTGCAGCTGCAAGCAGCTGGTCATGGTCCAGGCGGCAGCAGTGGCGGCGGCGGCGGCGGCAGAAGCAGCAAACAGGCGAGTGAGAGCCCCGGGTTTGGGGGAGACCTGGACTGGAAAGGTGCAAAGAAGTGGCAGAGCAAGGACGCGCGAGCGGAGGCGGGCGGAGCAGCGAGCGCTCGGGGCCACGCAGCGCGACCCCAGTACGCACTCTCCCCACGCCCCCTTCCCCCCTCCGTCCTTCCCTCCCTCCCCGACTCTGCACCTGGCTCCATGTGCCGTTCACCTTGCGCGCTCTGCAAAGCCGAGCGCGCTTTTGCGTTACTGGTGCGGAAAAACGAGCTTGGAAGGCGATGAGTTAAACTCTAGGCCGGAATTGTACCCGCCAACCTGAGAAGAGGTTCGCTTTCCTCGGATATGTCATGGTGGAGTCTGGGGTTGGACTAGGTCGCTGCTGAGGCCCCTTCCAGGGCTAAGATTCGGTGTCCTTTCCTCTGACATTCGTCGAGAGCCCCTCATGCCTTAGGCATTCCGGTGCCCGGTCCAGGATTTGCATTAGTCCTCAGCCAGGGGTTAAACCTGTAAGCACTGCGGAGGGAACCTGGTCTCTGGCAAAGCCCATTACTTCTTGCCCCCACGTATAGCCTTAGCATCCTTTTCTCCATCTCATCATCTCTCTGCAAATAAGAGAACTTATCCCCACTTCGGAGGAGATTTGGTCACTGATCCCTTTGCCTATCTTTCTATGATAAAGTTATTCCCATCTTTATCGCTTATCAAGGAGTATTTAACCAGGAAACCTCTCAGAGAGGGAATAATGAGATTTCTGCAAGGGAGAAAATTTCTGCTTTTTTTAGGGGGGCTAGTTGGTCTTTCTGGTGGCAGTAGTGATGATATAGAGTGTTTTTTGGTCGTTTAAAAAACCCCAGGATTCTGCTTTTCATTCTTATCACTGTCACATGCCTTTGTTACTTTATTTACAGGATTGAATACAAATACCTTATTTTAGCATTCATGGCTCGTGAAATCTGATTCCATTTACCTTTCCAAACTTATTTCTCACTAATCCTATTTCTGTAATCTCTGGTCTCACAGAACTGGATCACTGGTTATTTCCTGATGTTGCCTAGCTTTCTCCCCTTTTGTGCATTGGTGTAGGCTTTCTTCCTTGTCTAGCAGGACACCATTTAAACCTCAGCTTATTAAACAAACTTTTCCCCAGCTCTTGTCACTTCTTCTATGTAGCTTTCTCCGATCCTCACTTCTCCTCCCCCAGAAGCGACCCCCATTGTCTTATCTTTCTTCTATAAACACTTATAGCATCAGACTTCTAGTAGCTTTTTGTCTATTTGTCTTATCTTCTCTCTAGCCTGTAAGCTCCTTGAAGGCAGCCACTTCCTAGATGGGGCCTGTCCAGATTCCCCTGCCTCTGATCCACTCTCTCCCATTACCTTGTATTTACTTGGTATCCATTTTATATTATCTTAAATGTGTGCACATTTCCCCTGATAGAATAACAGTTCCTTGAAGGCAATGGGTACTTTGCATCTGTCTTCTATCTTCACTGTGCCATACTCATAATAGGCATTTAATAAATAATAAACTTGTATCATCTTTATATCCATGACTCCTGGCACAATCCACTTCACATAGACCTATTCAGTCCTTAACAAATTATATTAAATTGACATGCACTGTCAATCATCAGAGCCCCAGGCCTTGGCTGCTTCTTACAGGAACATTATGTTAATCACACACCTGTGCAAAGAGCTGGCCAGAACTAGGCAGGGTCTCCTGGGATTTCAGGGATGGTACCACCTTTTGATGGATATTTGGGGACATGTCCTTGAAATGTGCTTGTAGGTGGTATAAGGTCAATGTCAGTCAGCTCACATTTGTCCAATATCCACTCTGTGCAGCACTTAGTGCTAAAGGCACTAAGGACCAGATGGTGGGGCATCACACTGGGAATTCTATTGTTAACACAAGCCATAAAGATTCGATTAAATGCTACAAACCATTAGCTTGTCCAAAGCACTGTGCTGGGCTCTGGGCATACAAAGACAAAAATGAAACCATCCTTGTTCTTAAGGTGCTTGCGATCCAGGAAAGAGGTCAGTGATTTTGGTGACAGACTGACTTAGTAGGATAAGAAGACTCAAAGAACAAAAAGGTTTTAAATGGGAATAACTGAAGCATTAAATTTGGAAATACAGGTTGTACAGTCCTGACAATAATGAGAATGCAATTGAGTTGATAGCTTGTGAATTAAGCAATTTGTCAAAATGAACTCACCCTCATTAGTTTGGGTGTGCCTGTTTCATTATTCTTTGCCCTTGGAAGCATTGTAATTTAAACAAGAACCCTTCTTCAAACTCCTGATTTGGATAATATTAGTAATAGTAATAAGAAGAATAAAGCAATACATTCTGAATCTGTGGGTTCAGATTAAACAAAATGACAACCATTAGATTCGAGATTAATAACTTGAAAATATTTTCTCTTTCCTACAACATTGTATTTATCAAAATTATTAAGTCTCTTTTTGGATTTCCAAAATTTTAAGCCTCTGGCTTTTCTAACAGTAGTTTCTCACTTGCAGGCAATTGGGATGGGAATTTTTTTTTTATTCTTGTGGCATCAAATTTCAGATTTAATTTGAAACCATAAGCTTAGGACATTAGTTTCTAACATTTAGCAGAAGCAACAATAAATATGTGTTTAATATGCGGCATGTGAATTGGATTTATCTTAGGTTTCTATCTTTTCTTGGATGAACTGAGGAACAGTGAAAAGAGGGTGGCTTATAGCTAATTACAAGTAAATTGCATCTCCTTTCAAATCTGATGAATATCAAGTTGAGAATTGGATCTTTGTACTAGTGAGTTTGCATTTTTCTTTCATTGCCTGCAGAGGGAGTAAATCTACTTTGCTATCTCATCCAGTTGTGATCATAAGATTTAGAAATGAGAGGAACCGTATCATGTAGTCTAAACCAGTTTTTACAGGTGAGAAAACTGAAATCCAGAGAGGCACAAGATCATATAGGCAGTAAATAAAAGAGTTGCAATCTGAATCCAAGTCCTCTGATTTCTTAATCCCTTTTCCCCCTACTGTATCACTCTAGCTTAACTCACAATGCCCTGCAGTTTCCATGAGGTAAACTATAATTTCATGATTTATTTCAAAATCTGTTTAAAGTGTAGACCACCAAAATACACTCATATTACCCATTGCCATTTAAACAAAAATCTCACCTAAATTTGTTTTATAGGAATAGCTCATTTACACTCTGATAATCAGTTTTTGGCAAAACAATTTCTTAAATGACTTAGGGAACATTTCTAGGGGATAATCATCTCCTAATTCATTTATGTTTAGAGTTCAGATTTTTACATATCAGACATTTTCAAAACAATGCATACCTCTATTTGCACACACACAAATGTTTTAGAGAAAGATTTTTTTTTCTTTGTTTAAAGTTCCTAGTCTATTGGATAGGTCATTGAATCTACTTGCTTCTCTCTTTCATCACATTTCTACTAAATAGTGAGGTGTACTTTGGTATGGCTTTGGTATGGCAAGATCTGGTTAGTTTGGCATTTCCAGAGTATGTTATTTTATCTCTGTGCCAATCCCTTACAAGTTTGTTGTTATTGTTGTCTGTAGTCTCTCCACATTGTGTCATTTTATCTCTGTGCCAATCTGTTACAAGTTTGTTGTTGCTGTTGTCTTTAGTTGGTTCTTGACTATTGTTTTTGCAGCTGCCTCTCCTAAATCCCATATGTGCCAGGGGATGAAGAAAAGCATTGTGGTGGCAATATTGTTTGGTCCTTTTAACTGGCCTTTTGAAGGCTTGCATTGTCAGATCAAGAAGTATGTTGGAGGGAAGTAATTGTGGACAAGGTTGTCGTGGGGTGATTTTTTTTTTTTTTTTGCTCTGTTCAGATATTAAGTGCACCACTTCTGGAAAGTCTTAGAGTAAGTCTGTACTGTATTATGGTGGTATTGGGAAATGGGGAAGAGGGGTCAAATGAATCCAAAGCTATATTGTTTTTCCTGTTAGGCATGCCCTCACATTTCTCTATAGCAACCCTTAGAACAGTGAAATCCTTACCTAAGAGCTATGCCCTCACTTGGTTATCAGGGACCCAAAGACCTAGACTGGGGGAGCATCAGTAAGATTACAACTTCCCACATTTGATTCCATATAGGTCCTGCTTCTAGGGGAAGTCCTGATTTTAGTGTTTTACCCTTGACCTAATCTTTTACAGTCGAAACTGGCGGGGCCGAAGAGGAAACCCTGGGATTGGGAGCCTGAAGGGCATTTAAATGCTTGACTTAACCTGTAAGAAGGCTAAGTTAGTCCTGAAGTTGTCCAATGTAGGCCTGAATTTCAATTCTGACCAGAACTTTCCAAGTTCCTCTTGGAGATGATCAAGGTGTTGTATACTATAATAACTCAGCATGGACCTGGAGATCAAGCTTACAGGGAGCTCTGGCTGATGCTAAGTGCCTCTTGTGCCTAAGGCTGATCCCAGGCCAATTGGTGGGCTAAACAAGAACTGACTTAAATAAACACAGAAACACAAGGTCTCAGAGCCATTTATTCAACTCCTAAATAGTTTACCTTTCTCTTTTTCCTCAGTTTGGTAGCCATGTGAAGAATTTTCTCTAACTTCTGCCCCAGCCACTACAACCTAATGCTTGACAAGGGTACTCTTTTCCTTCTTATCCCTGTCTTCTATACTATACAAATTTCAAGAATGGAGTTATAGGTAATAGAATCAGGTAGTAGTATGATTAATCAGAATCTAATACCTAGCAAGGCCTTTGGGGATCCTCTCACATTAAATAATATTTAAATAACTACTTCTTTCTCCTCCCAAGGCCATCCTGCCAAAGCCTATTTAACTGGTGATATACCTGAAGCATAGTACAATATTAATAGTACCAGAAGGGTAGCTAGATGGAGAAGTGGAAAGAGTGCCAGGCCTGGAATCAGGAAGACTCATCTTTCTGAGTTCAAATCTGGTCTCAGATACTATATGTGTGACCCAAGGCATTTAACCCTATTTGCCTCAGTTTCCTCATTTGTAAAATGAGCTAGAGGAAGACATGGCAAACCACTCCAGTATCTCTGCCAAGAAA